AACTGAAGAAAATTTGAGCTGAGGTAAATTTGAACAGCCGTAAAGTCAAACTGAGGTAAATTTGAACTGAGATAATGTTTGAACTAAGTTCAAGTCAAACTGAAGTAAATTTGAACAGAAATAAAGTCAAACTGAAGCCAAGTCGAACTGAGCTAATGGTCAAACAGGTAAATTCGAACTGAGCTAATGGTCAAACTGAGGCCAAGTCGAACGGAGCTAATGGTCAAACTGAGGCCAAGTCGAACTGAGCTAATGGTCAAACTGAGGCAAAGTCAAACTGAGGTAAATGTTAAGTGACAGTAATGGTCAAACTGAAGAAAAGTTGCGCACCGAGGTAAATTCGAACAGAGGTAAAGTCAAACTTAGGTAAATTTAAACAGAAGTAAAGTGAAACGGAGGTCAAACTGAATTAAATTAGAACTGATGTAAATTCGAACTGAGGTAAATTTGAGCTGAATTAATGCTTGAACCTTGGCAAAGTTGAAGTTAGGTAAATTCAAACTGAAGTAAAGTTGAACTGATGTAATGTTAAACTAATTAATGGTTGAACTGAGGTCAATTCAGATGGAGGTAAAGTTAAACTGAATTAATGGTTGAACTGTGTTAAAGTTAAAGTTGAAGTAAAGTCACTAAATAACATTAGCTAGCTAGTTAATCTTCTTAGGCTTAGCTTTTGGTAAGTTATCACCCTCGTAGCTAGGCCTATACACAAATCAGTGAGTACTTGGATCAATTTAATTTGGGAAGACTTGCTTATTATTATGTTCTTTCTGTCTAGTTTTTAATTTCATTCATTAGGGCTATCTGGTTTGAAAATCTACTGCCATGCTATCGGGACTTTTTTTTTTCCTTTGATACATACTAGGAACTAATCATCTGTAATGCATCAGATTTAATGTAAAAAGTCATCACCATATGTCCAAACCTTGATACAGTATAAACAAATGAAATATATATGTGTCACACACATGATCATTACTTTTTATATGACACATAATCTGATAGGTTTCCCCATGCACTTCTTCATCCGGGCAGACCAATAATCCGTCCACACAGACCAGATAATTGCCGTCTGTGTGTGTGATCCGTCTGTAAAAGACCAGAAGGTCTCATTATGTGCCAGATTTAATTACAGATTTGTTCTAGACTAACCAAAACCACAGTCAGACTAAACCACACAAGATTTTATGGCAAACTTTGATGCCTGTTAGAGCATTTCTATAAGTTTGCATTTTTGGTGCAATATATGAACTGATAAATATTTTTTAGGGGACTGCAGCTGGATTTTTGCTACAGATATAATAATGAGCATGGACAGAGGGGTACACAGAGACCCAGATCCACACATCCACACACTATATCATTCATTCATTAAACCTTCATTAATATATAGATTTTATAGTTATATCTACTATATCAGAGCATGTTTTTTGACCTTTCCCCTACTGCTGACTTATTGTTTATGCGTGTTTATGATATTCTTGGTGGAAGTGATTTATCTTGGCCAGTCTGGTATGTAATTTCAATGTCTGCTGCACTGACTATTTTGTGGAATCGTCCCAATGTGAGGGACATTCTGGGAAAAAAAGAAAAAAAAAAACATTACCACATTGAGCCCTTGGTGAATCCAGTAGATGTATCTGGTCAGTGCTACCCAGTCAATGCTGTAATTTTCAAATCTGAGTGCTGTGTTTTTCTGTATTTTGCGTGCAAATAGCTCTTATCCTCGTTAGTCATGGCCCACAACAAATGGAGCAGGTGACTAATGAATGAGGCATAAGAACTAGGGATCCAAGTGACTTGCCCAGAACCAGCTGGCCTCATGATGCACCATTAACCATGTTTACGAGGATCCAGTTTAAAAGAAACATGTAGTAATCCTGTTGCAACTTCCCATCTAACCTCACTACCATTATAGTAGGATGCATAAATAGAAATTTGCTTTTTGACATACTGTTGAAGAATTCAGTACTGCTGATTCACCCAGGCATGCAACCTCATTTATTTATTATTGTCATTCCCTTTTTTAACCATGTGCAGAAAACATGATTATAAATAATCATATTTCAGATTTTCACAGAAAAAGGATTGACCATAATTAACTCCTACAGCCCTATTATTAAGTACATGATAAGTACATGATTGAAGGAATAAAACATGACAGGACATGGCGTTATAAGAAAAAAATTAAATTAATAAGTGTTTTATTCATCTAATACCAAATCAATCGTTCCAAAGATTGTTAAGTATTGGTTCTCTCACCAGCTTTTCTTGTTTTCTTTCTCTTCAAGTCAAGTCAAGTGGAGTTTATTGTCATTTCAGCCATATACAAGTACATAGTGACCATAGTGACTCCAGGACCAAGGTGCTACATAAGACAAACACAGAACAACACAGAACTACAGGGACTACATAAATTATACGTAAAGTGCACAAGTGCAAACGTGCAGACAGCACAAGACAGAAAAAGACAGTACAATGACTACAACGCCGACCAGTACGCAGTTCTGTTTGAAAGTGACCGAGTGACAATAGTGCAAATATTACAGAGTTTGATATAAATAGCTGAAGTATTGTAAACATAATAGTAGCAGCAGCAGCATAAAACATGTGTAAAATATGTGCATAGAGGATGGAGGATGCTCAGTTGTGTGTGTGTATATACGTGTGTGTGTGTGTGTTCCTTCCTTCAGTCCAGTTCTAGGTATTGAGGAGTCTGATGGCTTGGGGGAAGAAACTATTGCACAGTCTGGTTGTGAAGGCCCGAATGCTCCGGTACCGTTTACCAGACGGCAGGAGGGTGAAGAGTGTGTGAGAGGTGTGTGTGGGGTCGTCCACAATGCTGGTGGCTTTGCGGATGCAGCATGAGGTGTAAATGTCCGTGATGGAGGGAAGAGAGACCCCGATGATCTTCTCAGCTGTCCTCACTATCCGCTGCAGGGTCTTGCGATCTGAGACAGTGCAATTCCCAAACCAGGCAGTGATGCAGCTGCACAGGATGCTCTCGATAGTCCCTCTTGAAGATAATAAGACAAAAAAATTGTAGCTTGACATGTTACAAAGAAACTGTGAAGTCCTTCATTCTGAAGACTTTGCTCTGGTGGAAAACCTAAGTTACAGTGACACTGGAGACTCCTTCCAAAAACAGGACTCTTGTTTAGTTAGTCTCTTTAGTGTAAATGTGTCCAATATTTCCTTCTACATCAGTTTCCTAACCTATTCTTACCTGCTTTTTTCTTTTTTATGCAGGCATTGAAGCAGTGTGTTAAGGCCAAGATATTAAGTTAGATGTTGGGTGGAATTGGCAGTCTGGGGCCAACTGTTGCTTGGACCATCAGCGCTGATTGAGCCTGTTAATTTGGCATCTGAATACAGTGGTGAGAGACTTCTCTGATTGGCTATTCTGATACCACTTTTAGCTAGAAGTGTCATACTATTTAGGACAACAGTTTCTGCAAGACTGGGCCTTCTGGGTTGTTTTCTTTCTTTCTTTCTTTTTTAAAATACTGACTACTACCACCTCCTGGTATGGAGAGGTAAAAAGGATGGGTATGTCAGACGTCAGTTATAGTCTTTGCTGAGTATTCGAATTAAAATATATACAAGATGTGAACCATGGTTGGTGCTAGTTCTTCGATGTGGGCTAGGTGTGTCAGAGCCCTTAGAGTAGATGGAAAAAGCAAACTGAACTCCTGATGACTGTATGGGTGTGATATTCACAAAGCTGTGGATAACAGTTGCAAAAGACTCAAATGATGAGAACACAGCTTAGAATTAACTGCAGCCACACAGCAGGGGAGAAGGGAGGAAGAGGGAAGAGAGAGAGAGAGAGAGAGAGAGAGAGAGAGAGAGAGAGAGAGAGAAGGTTCATGGAGCACAGCAGGCAAATGTGGCTTCACCGCCGGCATCCAGAATCACGGGCAGACACCACAAACAAACCCAGCCGACGGCCGTGTGTACGTTACACAGAGCTATAGTCCTGCACGCAGGATCGTACAGGATCAGGCATAATTACAGTGAGAGTTTATCTGTTTTTAGTGCATAATGTATTTTCCAGGGTTGAGATTCTTTCTCTATGGAATTTCCCACAATTTCAGTCTAACATAACAGGGCAGTGTTTTATATATAGCTTCTATAGAACATACAGACCTTGAGAGAATTCAGCTGTCTCTCTGCCAGGAATGCACAAAAACATTTGATTGACTGATTCACCACCCCATTTCCTCTCTCTCTCTCTCTCTCTCTCTCTCTCTTTCTCTCCCTCTGTCAGGTCATCATTTACATTACACTCAGCCTTTAAAGGAAAAAACAACCCTGAACTACTATTTATAGTCAATAGTAGTTTGGCTTTTGGCTTAAACTTCTTTCACAGATATGTTGGTCTATTTTTACTTTGGTTAATGCTGTTCACCTGCCTGTTGATAGTGGTGCCAATGGGATTTAGCCCTTGCTATATAATTAAACTAAAGAGAGCGATGCAGCAGAGCTTTCTTCCTTTATTCTGTCCAGCTCTTTCACTTACTCATCTTTTGATTCTGCTCAAATTTATCAGCCTCAACTTTCATGCTAATACCGGCATCAGTGCCATCACCCCGTCCTTCTGTAGCTCACTGAGTCATATAGCTGCATTACAACATCTCCACTTCTATACTGGATTTCTCATTAATATTACATTTCAGGGTTGAGTTTTCCGGTAAATTCTGCAATAAAGTCTGTAATTCTGAAATAAAATCAACAACGCAGTCTTATCAACATTGTCTCACACTTACAAAATCCATAATAATTTGTACGACTCAAGTTAGAAAAAAAAAAAAAAAAAACAGTGAATTTTACAGTAATTTACTGGCAATCCGGGTTGCCAATAAAGTATTGTAAAATTTACAGTAAACAACAGTAAAACATATTTACAATAAAATCATACATAGTATAAAATAACTCATAACCCAGCAGGATTACATCTGAGCTGAAGGGTCTTACTCTAGGATCCAATGAAGCTAGTTTGTGGTGTTGGGATTTGAACACATGATCATCTTATTGGCAACTTGAAGCCGTAACCACTGAGCTACGACAGCTAGCAGAACTAGCTTCTACTGATTCATTGCAATCTTTTAGTGGCCTTATTTCAGTGCTAGAAGTAGTTGAATCAGTGCAAGCTAGTTGTGGTGGTGTTTTGGTGTAGTTATGGTAGCTCAGCGGTTAATGTTTTGAATCACAGCTCATAAGGTTGTGTGTTCAAATCCAAGCTCTCAGGGTTGGGCAAGACCTTCAACCCAGTTGTTTCCTGCATCAGCCAAAACAGCAATTGTGCTGGGTTATGTGTCATTTCATACAATATTAAGATATTATATATAAATTTCATATTTAGATACATTTCTCAAGAGCTTAGGTGCAACGTTATACTGTATATCAAGAGCAGCAAGCTTGTACAATGTATAATTACTAACAATATCTTAAAGGACTGGTTTGGCGAAAAATAAAAAGAGATTTTCACAACATCATTATAGGTAAAGCCTTGTGGAAACCTGGAATCATGTTTTTTTCTTAGCAAAAGTTTGTATAATTCCATTTAACCAAAGAAATCGGGTTGTTTAAATGGCACAGTAAGAATTTTAACAGAACATAGTTGTTTTTTTGGATGGATTTTAATTCATAATGACAGACTATCACTGCTTATTTCGCTTATCCAGGGAAAACAGTTACAATACCAATGCCTTATGAAGCAGGTAATTAAAAAGTATATAATATAAAAATGTGGGGGAGTATTGATGTGTTTAAGACTTTGAGTGAGATAACACTTTCATCACATGTTAGCAACATTAGACTTGTAGGTCCAGTAAAAGTAAAAGTAAAGAAGCAAATATTGATCACTAAACATGTCTTGGCTGATTGACTACATTTCTTTAAAACTAGGGGGAAAAAATAAAATATTGAATGTGCTATTGTGGCCTTGACCACATATTTGTCCAGCACTGTTGCAGCCCTTCCCCGTCTTTCTGTCTCTCTTTCTCTCTCTCTGATTCCTATAGCATTCGACTCAGAATTGTGTCTCACTGGCATCTCAGTACGTCACCACACACACACACACACACACACACACATGCTGGCTGTGCTTGACAGAGACTCACATTATTTCTCCTTTTTCTTCCCCCACAATAATGCTGATTTATGATCAGTTTTGTGATTTGCTGTGAAGGTCATGGTTTGGGTGGGAGGTTCTGTTTTGGTAGCATTTTATTTTAATATCATCATAATACTGCGGTAACAAGCTGCAATTATCCACACATAACATGTCAATAGTAACACATTGTACCAACAATAAAGGGCATAACAATTTCCTAGTTAAAACTGTAGCAGGAACAAACTGGTAATAAATCGTTTTTGGTTTGGTTTGTTTTTCAATGCAAAATATTAAAAAGAGCTCCAACAGCAGATCGTTTCAGTATAATTACAGCCTGTGTGTATACCATTTAAAGACATAAGTTGAAAATAAAAAATTATAATTTTACAGCCACATAATTTCAGTAAAATGACTTCATTGTTTCTTGGGGGGCAATAATTCAAATTAGATTGAATTGAATTTATATCTCTGTACGTATTTGAAACAATTAGAAAGGCAGAAATATTGCTTCGAGAGCTGAACATTTTATCCAAATATGCAAAAAAAAAAAAAAGAAAGAAAGAAAGAAGACAAATTGTTTAGTATCAGTAATAAGTAATAAGACTACCAATAATTACAAACTATTTTAACAACTCAAGTTAAATACTGTATATTATGGATGATTATGATCTTTATTACCATTATTTAACAATTTTATCACTGACTTGTTATTTATAATTACTAACATATTTTTTTTAGAATATCGACATGTTTGTGGCTAAATATTCTCATGGCTTTACTCACATATTACTGATCAAATAAGCTGCTCCCCTTTTTCTGTCAAGATTAAAAAAAAAACACACACACATTAGGCTTATAGAAGTATTTTCTGTCAAAATAGGACATGAAAATTTTAACTAATTGCCCAATAACAGGAAACAGTGAAATAACTGCTGTTAAATCAGCTAATTATTCTATTAATTTTCCACTGCAAGTGTGTAGTTGCAATGCCTCTTTACTGGACTTTCTTAATCATTAAATCATTTTAAAAAGCACTACAGGATGGGTTAAGACACTTATAACTCACTTCACTGTCTCACAATCAAAGCCCATAAAGACATTTCAGACTTGCTCGCTGTGGATAATCAGAACAGCCGCTAGTGTTTTGGTCAGACTGAAAGGAGTGTGTGTGTTTCTGGTCATTATCGTAGCTTATGAATCACACTACTTGAGATCTGAGAACAACTTTATTACAAAAATCATGCTTGGTTTTTAACTAATGTATTTAACTGGCTAATTTTATGTTACTTTACCAAATTTCTTTTTTTTTTTTTTAAATTAATTAATTCATTCATTCATTTTTACTTTTTTTTTCCACAGTTTTTTTTATTATTATTATTTTGCCTTTGCCTATTGTTTGCACTCTTTTATCTTACAGTATATTTAACTTCTAACCCTTTACATAAAAAGAGACAAGTGTGTTTCTGGACTCTCATATGTGAGATGATGTGACTTATATAAGATAAATGAGGTTTAAAAAGGAAGGTAGTGACAAATATACATGACGGGGAATGAAAAAACATCACATCTGAAATTATGGCACGAGATTTTTTTCAGCAGTGCATTATTTTTCATGAATTAAATTATGTGAATACTTTCGCTGTCTAACAATTACACATGAAATATGTGAAAATACATCATCAAAAAAATCATTTTTTTTGTCACTTATCATCATAACTGATTTTTTTTAAATTTACGTGTTTTTATTCTCTCTAATATTACACATTTCACTTCTGTGAGCTGTACTGAAGTTTATTCATATTCTTAGTGAAACTGAAGTGACTTGTGGCCAAGTATGGTGACCCGTACTCGGAATTTGTGCTCTGCGTTTAACCCATTCAACACAGTAGTGAACACACACACACACACACACACACACACACACACACACACACACACACACACACACACACACACACACACACACACACCCGGAGCAGTGGGCAGCCTTTTTTGCTGCGGCGCCCGGGGAGCAGTTGGTGGTTCGGTGCCTTGCTCAAGGGTCTCACCTCAGTCGTGGTATTGAGGCTCAAACCCACGACCTTCAGGTTCACCTTCAGGTTACAAGTTCAACTTTCTAACCATTAGGCCACGACTGCCTCTTATTCTTATTCTTATTCTTATTCTTATTCTTATTCTTATTCATGTGATAAACTAGCCAGAACCTATAGCAGCTAGGTATTGTACACAATATTGGCACTAATTTAGCCTAGGCTGCTTATGTGATCCTGAAAAAAATCTGTTATCTGAAAGTGAGAAGTAACTAAATAATATCTCTTGAGATAATAAAAAAAAAAACAACCACATTGTCTCTCAGGATCCTTTATCGCTTTCTCACTACAGTTTAACTTAATTGCAATGATTGACATTTTTGTGAGGCCTCCTACAGTCTGGACTAAATGATGTTTGAGGCCAGTGTATTTTTGTTACCTCCAGAGATTTATAACAGTTTGCCAGCGTCTGCGGTCCGAGAGAAAGCCACGCACCAGTGTAAATAATACAGTATAGAGATTCGTCCTTGAAATAGAAAACACTGCAGTTTCTCTCACACACACAGCACACACAATTTTATACTGGTTTTCAGACTATCTGCCTTCTGCCTTTCTCTCTCTCACACACACATAGACACACACACACACCATCAAGCAAAACACTAAGTCTTACTTTATTTATTGTTAAAAATTGTTTATTGTTAAAAAGTTTTAATGACGATGTGTTTGGTGAGACTCAGAGTTCAGACTTCACTTCAGGTTCTCCAGTCTCCTTTTCCTTCTGAAGGGAAAAACAAATCATTACGATTCGTGTAAATTTGAGCCCTTTATATACTACATATTTAGCCTGCAATAATAAGTACAGTTAGTAAGACTAGGAAATTTACACTCTATAAATAAAAATAAAATAAAATCCAGGGCAACTGCAAAGATACATAGTACGTATGTCACCTGCAATAACAGCTACAGTTAATCACACTAAGAAACGTACCATTGTGTACATTACGACTGTGTAACTGTCATTATTATAGTGCAATTATCATTACTGTTGTGTGATTACTTTTAACATTGTGTAATTACCATTAACAGCATGTTATTGTGTAAAGAATGACGTGTTACAACAGTGCTATATTTCTCCTACGCTGAGATTTGATTGGTAACATGATGCCCAATCCATATCAAAATGGCCGCCGTACCTGTAGCTCTCCACTGAGGAAGGAGTCACAGAAGTTCTGCACACGCTCAGTAGAGATCTCGCCTGGTCCCATGAGCCACTTTTTATCCGATTCGGCGTCATAGAGACCGACACGTGGGAGGTCACCTGATTTCAGGTTGAAGTAACCCAGTGCACGAGCGTTGGCCTGATCTTTCCCATTTATCAGCACGAACAGCATCTACAGAAATAAAAGCCAGACTTGCTTATATAAAAGTAAACATCTATTTACTTACCTACTTAACCAGCCTGGTTGTAAAGCTGAAAATGTAAAGGTGACTTACATCAGATAAACATTTAAATTGGTAAACTAACCAGACAATTATATTCATTCTTTCATGCATCCGTTCATTCATCTGCTTTATCCTGATCAGGATCCAAGGCTCCAAACAATTATATATTTCTGGTAATGCTTTACATGAAAGTTCCCTTAACTAACATCATTTACTGCATTAGTTAACATTAAAAAACATTAACCTCAGCATTAATAAACCACAAGTACTATTAACAAAGTAACAGTGTAAGTTAGCACATGTATTATTTGTCTCTTAAATGTTCACTTGCATTGAATAAAGTTCATTCAATCCACATAAATTAGAAAAAAAATTATTACAGCATGTTCCTAAATGTTGATAACTTACTAAAATCTGGTGTTTAGGTGTAAATATTGGGACTTTGAATTTTACCAGTTAAGAGCCGCAAACATGTTCA